CTGCTTGTGTTCCCTCTCTCGCTGTCTCTCTCTCTGTCAAATAAATAAATAAAATCTTTAAAAAGATAGAAAAAAAAAAAGAAAAAGAAAGTCTAAAGAAATAAAAAACCTGAGCAAAGACATTAACATTCAGACAACATAGGAGGAGATAGACTCTGTAGTTTAAGTCTAGGCAATTCACTAAAATAAAACAAAAACTCACAAAAATATATCAGAATCTGTTGTTGCTACTATATAATGTCTAAAATATATAGTTTTCAACAAAAGAGAAACATACAAAGAAACAACCCATGGCTTTTACTCAGAAAAATAGTAGTCAATAGATATTGACGCTAAGTAGGCTACATGTTGGATTTAGCAAAGACTTCAGAGCACCGATTATAAATATCTTCACAGGATTAAAGGAAACTGTCCAAAGAATTAAAAGAAAATACAATGAAAATAGGAAGTCTCAATAGAGAAATATAAACTATTTAAGAAAAAAAACAGCCAAATGGAAATTCTAGAGTTGTAATATACAGTAACTGAATGAAAATTCATTAAATGGTCTCAACATCAGATTCAAGATGGCAGAGGAGAGAATGAGATAGCTCAAAGGTACAGCACTAGAGATGATCTCCAAAGAGCAGAGAAAAAAGGTACTGAAGAAAAATGAACAATGCATAAGAGATCTGTGGGACAATGCCTGGTGTATCAACATACATGTAATAGGAGCTCCAGAAGGGCAGAAGACAGAATGAGGCAGCAAATTATCTAAAGAACTAATGGCCCCGAATTTCCCAAGGTTGTTATCTACAGATCCAGAATTCTCAATGCCAAGTAAGATAAGCACAAAGAGAACCACAAATAGGCACATAGTCAAATTGCTGAATAAAAAAAAGAAACCTTGAAAGCAGCAGTGGAAAAACAGCTTTGTACAGGGAAACAACAATATGATTAATGGCTGATTTTTCATCAGAATAACAGAGGCTAGAAGGTAATGGAAAAACATACTCAAAATATTGGAATAAAATTCAACTAAAAACTGTATATTCAGGAAAACTACCCTTTGAAAATGAAGGTGAGGGGCGTCTAACTGGCTCAGTCGGGAGAGCATGTGACCCTTGATCTCAGGGTTGTGAGTTCAAGCCCCACATGGGTATAGAGATTGCCTAAATAAATAATACTTTTAAAAAAAGAAAAGAAAATGAAGGTGAGATCGACATTCCCTGATAAACAAGATTTGTTGGTAGCAGTCTTGACCTAAAATAAATACTGAAGGAAGCCCTTGGGCTGAAAGAAAATGGGAGCACATGGTAACTCAAATCCACAGAAAGGAATGAAGAGAATTGGAACTGATACGTGGATAATAGACTGTATACATGAACACAAATACTCATCAACTTGTGAATGGTAAACAAAACGTGTATCTACTCAGCAGAAGGAGGAATAAAGTACTAATTCATGCAAGAACATAGATGAATCTCAAAAACAGCATGATGCATTTTGAAAGAATCGCAAAAGACTACATGCTGTATGAATCCAATTATATGAAATTTCTAGAAGAGGCAAAAACAGAGATAGAACAAAGATCAGTGATTGCCTCAGACAGGATGAGAGTAGGCATTGCTTGCAACCAGCCATGAAGAAACATTTTGGGCGTGATGGATATCTTCTAAAACTGGATCTTGATCATGATTACATAACTATAAATTTACTAAAACTTCATCAGACTGTGTAATTACAATAGTTGAATGTGTGGTATGCCAATTATACCTTAATACAGTGGTAAAAAGTGTTAACAGTGCCTGTTTCTGAGTAGTGTGCGTGGAGATAATTGTCCCTTTCTTTTTGCTTCTATTGCATTTTCTAGACTGATTACATAAACATCTATTATGTTTGGAATAAAAGACAAGTTAAAAGTAAATTTTTAAATAACAACTCTATTTAAAATACTTTTGAAACTAAAATTCTCCCTCTACACACACACACACACACACACACACACGCCCCTGGCAGGAATCCCAGTAAACAATACTCTCTATCAGAGTTTAATTTAGCTAAATATATAGTCTTTCATTGCCCTTGGGAGTTTAATATGGTAGTTATTTGGGGGTCTTAGGATAGGCTGTTCAGGCATGGCTTTCTTTTCCTACAGAAAAATCCATACCTTTCATCAACAGAATAAAATTACGTCAACTGATGCCATCAAATTATATCTCAGACTTTCTGAGGGTCCTTACGAGACCTGGAATGAGAACAGGCAATGACTTTAAGTATGAAATGTCTAATTGAGCCAAAGCTGTATTAGCTACTTGTAAAGGCTAGCGGCCTGCCTTAAATGTTCCCCCTTTTTTTTGCAGATGCTGTTGAGATATATTTTATAAAAAGTATCAATGCGTATCAAGCAACATTGGGCCCAACAGATTATGAAACACTGACGACCATTGAAGAATTCTGCAAATGGCTTGTCCAAAATGGGGAAAAACAGGTAAATCTGAACAGGTAAATCAACAAGAGACAGTGTGATCTTGGGCAAGATCCATTCCTTCATCTGTAAAATAAATATAATAATAGTTCCTCTCTCAGAGAGTGGTCATGCATGAATTAACTATTATTATTAAACATAAGCTTGGAATGTCACCTCTTCACAGAAACAGATTACTTAGGTGACATGTCACAACCGTCTGGTCCAGGTGGGTTACATCAGTGTGACGTAGAATGCCTCTTCCGTAGAGTTAATGGATTAGAACTGGCATACTCCTTCAGAATTGCCCGGAAGATTACAATACACTTTTCTTTAATTCCCTAGGAGGCTTACAGACTGCTAAAGGCCGCCCTGAGGTCTCAGGTCATCAGCTATGGTGATTGTAGTGAAAAGGTGGCCGAAACTTTTTACAACATGGGCAGGATCTGCTTTGCCAAAGGAGAGCTCAGGAAGGCAATTCAGCTGTTAAGGAAGGTAAATGCTGGCTGCTTTTTACATTTTCTCCCGGGCCTGTAAGCACAATGTGAGGAGTGATGCATGTGGGTGGGTGTGTGTGTGTGTGTGTGTGTGTGTGTGTGTGTGTGTTTGTTTTCCCTTTCTTTCCCACCCCTCCCCTCCCTTCTGCTTCCTTTCACCTCTCTCTCTTTCTTTCCTTCCTTCTTCTTTTTTCCTTCCTTCTCTATTCCTTTTTATTTTTTAAGTAAAGTGAAAATTCACTTTCTTAGATGTGCTAAAGGAGAATATGATACAGAAAGTTTTGTTGTGTGAATGCCTGGACCAGAGTCTTAAAAGAGTAACACCCCAATGTTAGAATCTGGGTCTGGCAGTGGCTGAATATCAGGAAAGCACCCAAGGTTGGGCGGAATCAGGAACACCTTTTATAAACCATTCTTACCCAAATACCGATTCCTCTTCCAGGGGGCTCAGAGGTCCCTGGATGTTCATATCTTGTAGTAGGATCTGGCAAGAGGTGTGACCAAACAGTTGTTCAGCTAGTCAGCATACTGACAGACCAAGGCTAAAGACATGATAGATCAGTAGGGATATCTCTACATAGAATCTAAATTTGTTCAAGGTCAGAGGAAGAGTTGGTAAAGACCAATCAGTACTCATGTGAGGAGAGTGGAGTCCCAAGCAATCCGTACATGTACATTGGCAAACATCATGTCTGGAGAGATTTTTATCTCATTTCAGGTTAACTAAACAGAATCAGAAAATAAGTTATGAAGACAGTGAATAACAGGAGAAAGGGGGCCTCATTTTGAAGATTCTGAGAAAAAGAAAACCTTAAGAAAATAAGTTGCAGGGTTCAGAAGAGTGTCTTTGAGGGAAGCATGAACATAGGGATGGGAGCAGAGAAACCTATAAGGAGAGAAAACTTTACAATGAAAGGATGACAGTCTGAGGCCAAAAGATGAGATGAGATTTAAGAGTGAAATAAGGGATTTCAAAGAAACAACAAATCCAATAGAATTCAAATCTACATGGAAAATAGGGAAGACTGTCTTAACATGTCACAGTGATGGTGAGATTTCCCAAATCTAAAATTGCAGCAGTGTCAATAAAAATCAAAACAAAAATGAAACAGACTAACAAAAGACACAGTCCTGAGCCTCCCCTCAAACATTTAAATCACAAGTTCTAAGAGGTGTGTCTAGAATCTGTATTTTTAATACTTCTAGAGATGTCATACCCTGCCCATTTAAAGGATCAGAGATTTATGTGACAGACTCGAAAATCTGTCCTAGAATGCAGAGAGAAGAGAGAGAGAGAGATAATGAGAAAGTCGCTATGGAAGGCAGAGTAGAGATTCACCTAAAGAACGATAATACTTGGAAGAGAAACAGTAATCAAAGAAATCATTGAAAACAATTTTTCTGAAAACAAACAAACAAACAAACCCGCCCCAGCATACATGTTATAAGGGCTTACCATATTCTACACAAGACGAAAGGAGAGCCCGTTCTAGATATTACTTGCTAGTGGCTGTCTGAAGCCATAGCCACCTCCTCCATTTGGAATAGGGAGTCAACTTGGGGATTTAGGATTCTGTAAGGTAGGTGGGGGCTGCATCTTGGTTATCGGCTTTTATCCTGAGGGCTTTAGGCCCGGCTTCAGTGTCCCAGCCCAGAAAGGCGGGGAAGTGTAGAAGGGCATGCTGACAGTATGGCTCTTGTTTTGAGCTTTGAACTCCTTCCTCAATGCTGGGGATCTGCTATGAGTGGGATGCTGGCCATGAGGTTTCTGAATTTGCCGATGTTAATAGATGCTCTTCTGGGGGTTGGCAACTACTCCTGGAGCTAAAACGAAGGCGAGAGACCTCAGCAAAAGTTGATGCTGTGAGGAAACCCCTTTGGCAGACAGAATAGAGCATAAAGAGAGTGACACTTTGGGCTGACTTTTTTTCTTGGACAGTCCAATGTTCATGTAAAAGGAATCAAAGTTAAATGCAGTAGGGTGGAGGTGAGAAGATAAAGAAAAGACAAACCTTAAAAATTATAACCTGTGATGGAATAATTTTTATTTGCATACAATAAACTGCACACATTTTGAGGTGCACAGTTTGATCAGTTTTGATATCTTGACCTGTGAAACCGTTGCCACAATCAAGGTCATGAATATATCGGTCACCCCCAAAAGTTTCCCCAGTCCCCTTTGTAATTAATCAATCCCACCCCTCCCCCACCCCCACCCCCACCCCCAGGCAATAACTGGTTTGCTTTGTCACTAAAGATACATTAGCATTTTCAAAAATTTTATATAAGTAGAATCCTATAGTTACACATTTTTGAATCATTCTTTCAGCATAATTATTTTGGGACTTACCCATATTATTGTGTGTATCATGGTTTACTTTTATTGCTGAATGTTACATTACATGGACAACATGATTTTTTTTATCCATTCACCTGATGATGAACATTTGACCGTTTCCAGTTTGGGTTAATCATTGATAAAGCTGCTGTGAGTGCTCATGCACAAGTCTTTGTATGGATATATACTTTCTTCTCTTGGGTCAATCCTGAGGAGTGAAATGGTAGCACTATGTAATATAATAGGTGTATGTTTACCTTTATAAGAAACTGCCAACATTTTGGAAAATGGTTGCATCATGTTCTATATTCCCACCAGCAGGGTCTGAGAATTCAGTTCCTCCACATCCTTGCCAGTAGCTGGTGTGGCCAGGGCTTTTCATTGTAGCCACCCTAACAGGTATGTAGCGGTATCTCATTGTATGTGGTTTTTAAGACTTCCTTCCTTCCTTCCTTCCTTCCTTCCTTCCTTCCTTTTCCTTCCTTCGTTCCTGTCTTTCTTTCTTTCTTTTAGAGTGAGAGAGAGATAGACAGATCACAAGTGGGGGGAGGGGCAGAAAGAGAGAGAGAGAATTACAAGCAGAATCCCCGCTGAATGTGGAGTCCAGACAGGGCTCAGTATCACAACCCATGAGGTCATGACCTGAACTAAAATCACAAGTCAGATGCTCAACCTACTGAGCCACCCAGGCGCCCCTCATTGTGGTTTTCATTTGTATTTATCTTGAGCATCTTTCCTTGTCCTTATTTCTCATTTTATCTTCTTGGGTGAAGTGTAGATCCAAATCTTTTGCTCATTTTTCATTAGTTGTTTGCTTTCTTATGATTCTTTTAAAAGTTCTTCATATATCCTAACCACGGTGTGTATGGTGCCTGTAGACTTGTATATGACTCCTTTAAGATAATTGTAAAGTTGCCGGTGTACAATTGTTGGGTGTTTGTATAAACACATGTTCCTAGTTCATGCCATAAATGATGCTATAAAGTGAAAAAAATGAAAGTTCTTCATATATTCTAGATACAAGTTCTTTATTTTTTTAAAAAAGATTTTATTTACTTATTTGACAGAGAAAGCATAAGCAGGGGAAGCAGCAGAGGGGGAGGGAGAAGCAGGCTCCCCTCAGAGCAAAAAGCCCGATGCAGGGCTCCATCCCAGGACCCTGGGATCATTACCTGAGCTGAGAGCAGACGCTTAACCAGCTGAGCCACCCAGGCACCTTTAGATACAAGTTCTTTAACAAATATATGATTTGGAAGTATTCTCTCTTGGTCTGCAGTTTGCCTTTTCATATTCTTAACAAACATCTTGTGAAGAGCAGAAGTTTTAAAATTTAATGAAGTCCAGTTTATCAATTTGTTCTTTTATGGATTGTGCTTTTGATGTTTTATCTAAGAAATCTTTGTCTAACCAAAGCCACAAAGATTTTTCTCTTGTGTTTTCTTTTAGATTTTTGGTAGTTTTAGGTTTAACATTTAGGTCTAGATCCACTCGAGTCAGTTTTCCTATATGGTACTAGGACTGGATCTCAGTTTAATTAATTAATTAATTTTGCATATGGATATCTGGTTGTTCTAGCACCATTTTTTGAAAAGACATTCTTCTCTCTACTGAATTATCTTTGCACCTTTGTCAAAAATCAGTGTGTGTGTGTGTGTGTGGATTTATTTATGGATTCTTTTCTATTCCACTGATCTGTTTTTCTATCTTTTTTTAAAACTAGGCTCCACACCCAATTCATGCTCCTGAGATTAAGAGTCACATGCTTTACCAACTGAGGCAGCCAGGCACCCTCTGTTTTTCTATCTTGATGCCAATAACATGCTGTCTTGATTATTGTAGCTTTAAAACAGGTCTTGAAATCAGGTAGTGTTAGTTTTTCACCTTTGTTCTTCTTTTTCAGTGTTGTTCTGAGTATTCTAGGTTCTTTGCATTTCCACAGGAATTTTAGAATCACTGTATCAATTTCTCCAAAAACACGTGCTGGGATTTAGATTGAGATTACATTGAATGTATAGATCAGCTTGGGGAGAATTAACATTTTAACAATCTTGTGCTTCTTACCCATGAGCACATGGTGTTCCTCCATTTGTGTAGATGATCTTTACTTTCTCCCAATAATACTTTTTATAGTTTTCAATGTACATATCTAGTGCATCTTTTCTTAGTTTTATTCATACTGACTTCATATTTTGATGGTATTTTAAATGTGTCATATGAATTTCAATTTCTGATTGTTGATGCTAGTATATAGAAATACAAGGGATTTTTTTAATATAATAATTTTGTGTCCCATAAATTTGCTAAACTCACTTTTCTAGTAGCTGTTTATAGATTCATCAGATTTTCTACATAGATGATCATGTCATCTACAAATAAAGCTTTACTTCTTTCATTCTGATTGATGCCTTTTATTTCTTATCACATTGACTAGAACGTCTAGTACAATGTTGAATAGAAGTGGTGAGAACAGGCAACCTAGTCTAATTCCTGTTTGCAGGGGAAAATAATTTAGTCTTTCATCAATCAGATTTGATGTTAGCTGTAGATTTTTTTATAGATACCTTCTTAGGGTGAGGAGATTCCCTTCTACTCCTGGTTTGCTAAGGAATTTTTGTTTTTAAATCAGGAATAGATGTTGGATTTTATAAGCTTGGGTATTGGGTATTATAAAAATTATTTTTCTGTACCTACTGCTATAATCCCTGATTTTTTTTATGGATACTTCCTATTCCTGTGCCTTCAAGTTCACTGGTTTTTTTTCTTCAATGTCAAACTCTTAGTCCCATCCAGTGTATTGTTCCTTTCAGACATTTTCATCTCCAGAAGTTTGATTTGGGTCTTTTAAAAAAATGTGCTTTTCATGTCCTCACTTAATTTTTTTAATACATGATTAAAGTTACAATAACAGTTTTAATATACTTCTCTGCTAATTCTAACATCTATATCAGTTTGGGATTGATTTTTCTCATATGGATCACACATGCCTTGCTATCTTTGTATATTTTACCTTATTGGGTGCTGGATATTTTTGTATTCCTATAAGTATTTTTGAACTTTTTCTGGAAGTCAATTATAGTTTGGTCCTTTTAGGTCTTGCTTTTTAAGATTCAGTAGATGAGACTAGAACAACATTTAGTCAAAGGCTAAATTTCCCCCATTACTGAGGCAAAAGCCTTCTGAGTACACCACCCAAAGGTCCATGAAAAATGAGGCTTTCCAGATTGGCTGGTTGGAATAAGCACTATACCTAGCCCTGTTCCTTCCAGCCCTGTCAGCTGATTCTTTCCCCAGCTTTAGATGTGCTAATCAATACTCTGCTGAATATTTAAAGGGGACCCACTGCAAATATTCCTGGATCTTTTTCTGTGCAGCTGTCTCTTTTTTACTCTGCTCTGAGAGCCTCCTGGGACTCCCAGCTCCTTATCCTCAATTCAGGGAGTCTGCTGAGCTTCACTTTGTTCCTTTCCCTGCATCATGGCCTGGAAATGCTCTCAAAGCAATAATCTGGGGGCAGTCATAGGATTTATCTCACTTGTTGCCCTCTCTTAGGGACCACTGTTCTTTGTTGGCTGATGTTCAGTGTCTTGAAGATAGTTTCATATATTTTGTTTACTTTTTCTTTTTCTGGCTGTTTCAAGTGCAAGGGTAAATCTGATCCCTATTATTCCATCTTGATTGGAAAGAGAGGTCAGCAATAAAATTTTAAATGGAAAACTGCCTAAGAGTAAAGTGATACAGCATGAGAATGAACTGCAAATTTAGGACCCACACACAGATTTCATTTATGTCCATCCATTTGGTCATAGCTATTTGGAAAATCTTCATGGAAACCACTATTGCAGCCATGTTTTGGCCCTGTTACTTTGGGGATCTGTAGCCACATAGGGCAGTGGTAGGTGCAGTGAAGGGGAATGATACACATAGAACATGGGAGTGTTCAGAGCCTTCAGTTCAGGCTCCTTGTCCTCCGTGGCTGGGAACCAGGAGGAGATGCAGTGCAGAAATTTGAAATGTAAACTCATGATAGCTCCATTCCACTACTGCTCTCGAGTTTGGTTTATTATGAAGCTGCTTGCCATCTGATTCTCTTTACCTTGCTGTGTTTCTCAACTTACCTATAGTGTCTGATGATTCAAATCCTTTTATACGGAAGTGAGCACAGTAAAAGCAGAGACACAAGAGACCTCCTTAACCTATTGCAGAGGTGAGTTCTGGCTCTGATCATCAACCATGTCATCTGTGTGGATATGTGGATATGTGGATAACATGGCCTTGCCCAGATTCATTCACCAACGATGATCACCTTTGTTATTCTTGCTAGTAAGGCAGAATGCCAACCTATACTATGGATTTGGCCAAATCCTTTGGAAGTAACTAGTTGATTTCTAGTAGTGCCTCAGAAACCAATGTTATGGGGGTCTGCTGCAGTAAAACTTACTATTTATAAGATCTCTTTCAATGCTGAGCATTGGAACCAAATCCTACAAGGTAGTATCTCAGCTGACAACTTGTGACAGATCCAATATGGACTTATACAAAGTAAACGAATACATTAAACTTGTTTTTTCTTGCTGAACATACAAAATCTAGGTCCTTCGATATAAGGCAAGTATTTTGGTGGGGGAGGGGGTAGATTTAATTATCTCCAGAGTTAGTAATAAAAGAGTGTTTTGTGCAGACTTGTCCCTTTCTTTATTTGGCATATCATTGCTTTTTGTTCATCTCACAGTGATGTTGACCTTGAGCTATTCTCTTCAAAGACAGATTAAAATTTGTTGGGTGTAAGTGCCTACAACTGAGCTAGATCCTAGTCATGAAGTCATGAAGTACTTAATCCTCACAAATCCCTAGGATGATAGCTCTCATTTGACGGAAGGGAGCCCAATGTTCTGCAAAGGAACGTGCCTAAATTCACTTAGTCTTAGAGGTTTGGGCCTAAGCAAGTGTGACTCTAAAGGCCATGTGCTTTTCCCTTAGAGCCCTCTAATAAGGAGGGGCAGTGTTATGGAGCGAGAGTCAGGACCCTGACTGTAGTTTACCGGAGGTGGCTCACAATGGGTACGTTTCTCACCAGGCTGGACAGGTGAGGGACAAGATGAGCAGAGAGAACACATTCAGTGCATCCTATCCCCACCCACCTGAGTCAGAGCCACACCTCAACGAGGCCCAATAGAAGACTGTGTCCTGCTGTATCAGTACCCAGAAGAGGGCTCTCTAGCCTCTCTAGTAATGCCCATGTGAGGATGGTGTACGGGAAACTTTGTCCTCTACCTGCTAATGGGTATGCAAATACATTTTCCTGGTCAAGAACCATAACTATATATGTGTATATATATAGTTATGTGTGTATATATGTATAGTTCATTTCAGAAATGAACTTTCAGAAAATACATAGTTATATATATAGTTAAATATATAAAGTTCAGAAATGAACTTTCAGAAAAA